TTTTGCTAAGCTTGTTCTAAATAGGTGCTTTAGACCACTGAGCCATCTCTCCAGACCCTGATTGTTGTTTTAATGGACAAAACTCAAGTGATCTGAAAAGGATATTCATGTATACTGTCATTCCAGTATTAGGAGACTGAGGCAGGAGAAGTGCCACAAGTTCAAGACCAGCCTGGACAGGAGACCTTGTCTCAAAAGACAAAACAAAACAAATAACACACAAAAAGGATATCCAAATGGGAAGTAAATACATGAAAAGTGCTTACTTTCTTTTTTCTTTTTTTTTTCTTTTTTTTTTTTTTTTTTTTTTTTTTTAATGTATTTCGTACAGGGTCTCACAACACAGCTCAGACTTATAGTGATCCTCCTGTTTTCAGCCTCCCAGGTGCTGGGACTAGAGGCATGTACCACCACGCCTGGACTCGTGTGGCTGGCTCAGCATGCCCAAGGGCAGGGCCATTACCTTCATTATTTATTAGGGAAATGTCTACCAAAACCACAATGAGATACCTGGCAATACCAACTGTTGGTGAGATTACAGGGGCACTGCAACATTCAAACACTGGACAGAAGTGGAAACTGGCACAAGCACTTGAGAAAGCTCCTTGGCAGTACTGCTAACCTGGGCACAGTAAAATCCTGTACTCCAGCAGCTGCACTGCTGGTTACGTTCCCAACCGAATGCACACATATGTGTGTGCATATGTGCGCTAAGAAGACACAGCTCTAAGACTGTTCAAAGCAACATTATTTGTAGTAACTAAAAACTATAAACAATCCAAATGTTGAATACTAGAAAGAATAAGTAGCCAGGCATGGTGGCAGATGCTTGTAATCCTAGCACTCAAGAGGCTAAAGCACAAAAACTGCTGCAAGTTCAAGGCCAATCTGGGCTACATAGTGAGCTCAAGTACAGCCTGAACTACATGGCAAGACTTTGGGTTAGGGTTAGGTTGTTAAAAAATCAAACAAAAGAGGCTGAGGCTACAGCCTGGGCTACAAGATTAGTTCATGGCTAACTTGAAATGTATGGGGAAACCCTGTCTCAAAGACAGAAATAAATGACAAAACCATAAACATAAAAATAATAAACAGGATACATAAATTGTAGTAGATTCATACAGTGAATTCTGTAGAGAAATAAAAAAGAACAAATTACTCTAGATAAATCTCACAGGAATAGGCCAGGCATGGTGGCACATGCCTAGAATCCCAAGCACTTGGGAAGCTGAGGCAGGAGGACTGCTGTAAGTTAGAGGCCAGCCTAGACTACATAGTGAGTTCAAAAGCCAGCCTGAACTACATAGCGAAAGCCTGTCTCAAAAAAAAAAAAAAAAAAAAGAAAGAAAGAAAGAAAGAAAGAAAAGAAAGAAAGAAAGAAAAAGAAAAGAGTACATACTAGCTGGGTATGGTGGCACACACCTGTCAACCCAGCTACTTGGGAAGTTAGCCAGGATTGTGAGTTCAAGGTCAATGTGGGTAACGTCAAAAGTCCTCTTAAAATAGGCCAAGAGATATAGCTCAGTGTAGAGTACTTGCCTACCATGCATAAGATGTTAGGTTCAAACCCCAGTATTGGGAAGAATTAAAAAAAAAAAAAATAGACTACATATTCTATGATTGTACTTACATGAAGTTCAAAAATGCTAGTCACCAGTCCATGAGGAGAACACCAAGTAATTGCTACCCTTTGGTGGGACAACTGGATGGGGCATGGGGAAATCTGGTGGTGTAGGAATAGCTTATGTGTTTATTTCAGTGTGGGCTAAATAATCATCACTGAAAACATTCATGGGGCCTGGGTTGTAACACAGTAGCAAAGCACTTGCCTACAATGTGCTTGAGTTTGAGCCCTACCAACATCAAATAATCATTAATAATATGGCCATATATCTTTGATTATATTCTCTGCTACATCTATTCTTCATTTTAAAAAACTTCACCAAAATCCCATACAGGGGCTGGAGTGTGTAGCTCCAGTGCTAGAGCATTTGCCTACCAAGTACAAGACCCTGTGTTCCATCTCCAGGAATGTAGGAAAAACAAACAGTGAAAGTCCCCTACAGTCCCCTGCTGTGTTTAAGAAGACCAGAGCCACTCAGAGCCAATGGCAGTGTTTAATGCACATTGCCTGCTCTATGCAACGCTGTGAAAAGACTTATAAGGGGATGTTGTCCTTACAGTCATTTGATAAGTACTGGTCTACCTATGTGTAGGTTAGATAAATCAATGACCCCTGTCAGAGGCCTTGGTGGCCCTATGATAACAGGGCCACATCACAAGGAAATGAGACAGCCCTTAGTCACTGACATCAGCGGCTGGCAACACAACTGCTGTGCGACATCCCCACTAGCCTGCTGCTTCACACTGGCCCAGAGAACTGCTATAAAATGGCCTCATGTGAGCACGGCCCAGGAACTCAGCTGGCTCTGCTGTATGCTAGTGTCTGTCACCCAGCAAGCTTGCTACATCGGGAAGCCGGTCACAAGACAGAGCCCTCATTTCCCTTGGAAGCAATGCTCCTCCTGGCAGCTAATCTACAACGTCCCTAGGCCCAGGCGGTCTTCAGATACACACATCCAGGAGGGGAATGGAGGGATGTGGAACCCTGCTAGGCTCCTCTGTTCACTGGAGATGAGGACTGCTCAGAGATTATAGGTGCCCGCCTGTCCTCTCCCAGAACCCCAGTGAAGACAGAGCATGGCCCTGCTGGTCTCTGTGTCCCCTGTCCTTTGCAAGGTATCATCAGCACCCAAGAATAGCAGGCTGAACTGAAACAGTCTGTTTCCAAGAGGAAAAAGGAAATTGTGAGGAGCCAACATCCTCGAAGGACAGTAGGATGAGGAGGCTGCCAGAAAGCAGAGGGTTCATGGAGCTTTTGGGGACTCCCAAATATCAAAACCAGGAGGGCCAGGGTGCCACCTTCCCTGCAGCAAGGGACAGTGGCTATAGATATCTGATTCATCTACAGGAGGCCACCAGGAATGGCCACTGTGGGGATGGCAGGGAGAAGTGGACTAGGCTTCCAGCTTGGTCTCGGGACAGACACTTCATAGAGAGCTTAGGAGACAGGGCTGCCTGGGGAGGGAAGGAGGGACTGAGGGCAAGGCCTACCTGTGTAGTGCACCACACATGTCTGGCCCTTCTTGGGGAATGTCCTTCCTGCAGGGAAACAAGGGCAGATGAAAGAGGATTAGAAAACCTCACCCAAGACATTCCAGTGTGATTGTGACCATGAGCTCAGGACCACATTCTTTATGGGGATGGGGGTGGAAGGCCAGGTCTCACTGTAGAGCCCAGGCTGGCCTCCAACTTGAGTGATCCTCTAGCCTCTGCCTCTCAAATGCTGAGACTACCACCAGCTGAGTACTCAGGCTCATTCATAACACAGAGATACCCACGGCCCTAGTTCTGGCTCTGTGCCTTGTATAAACTAGGGCTGTCACTTGGACTTGAGCTTTAGGCTGCTGGTTTGCTTCACTCCAATCTCTCCCCTTTTTCTATCCATCTATTTCACAAATCTTTATGGACAGCCTATTATAGGCCAGGCCTGGACTGATTCCAGAGATGTACAGCGATGAGTAACCTCCCAGGTAAGTTGGAGAAATAGGCATGTAAATTATATGCTATAATGCAGAGTGATGGATGTTCCCAAGGACAAAGGAACACAATTATTCACAACTAGTTACTGGATACCTCCTCTGCACCAGGCCTATGCATGTTCCAAGGGTTACAACAGTAAGCACAGACAAGTTTCCTGCTCTTTTGGAGTTTACATTCTAATGAAACAAACAATACTCAAATAAACAAGATAATTACAGATTGTGATGAGTCCTCTAAAGAAAACATACTCTGGGAGGCTGAGGCAGGAGAATCAAAACTTCAAGTCCAGCCTGGGGAATTAAATGACTTAGTAAAACCTTGTCTCAAAATAAAAAATAACACCGGGTCTGCCTAACAAGCACAAGGTCTTGAGTTCAATTTCTGATTAATTAAAAAAAAAAAAAAAAAGTCTGGGCATGGTGGTGCACACCTGTAATCCCAGCACGCAGGAGACTGAGGCAATAGGATTACTGTGAGTTCAAGGGCAGCCTGGACTACAGTGAGACCTTGTCTCAAAACATAAAAAAAGAAAGAAAGAAAGAAAGAAAGAAAGAAAGAAAGAAAGAAAGAAAGAAAGAAAGAAAGAAAATAAAAAGGGGAGTCCAGGAGGGCCTCTTAGAGGGGTGTGAGGAACCAGGAACCAAAGCACAGGTCTTAAGGCAGGTGTGTATATGTAGAACAGAAAGGAGACTAGGGCAGGTGTGGTGGCCCATGCCTGTAGTCCCAGCACTCAAGGGGTTAAGGCAGGTGGATGGATCCTCACAAGTTTGAGGCCAGGCTGAGCTATACAGTGAGGTCCTATTAAAAAAAAAAAAAAAAAAAAAAAAAAAGTAAAGAAAGAAAGCGGTTAGATGACTGGCAAGGAGGGAGGGAAGAGACAAGTGGAAAGAGATGCATCATACAGGCCTTGCAAAACTGGGTTTAATACTAAGTGCACCCAGAAACCACTGGAGGATTTAAGCAAGAGAATGACATAATCCGAATTAAGATTTTATAAGATCACTCTGGCTGCTCTGTGTGGGATGGACAGTTAGGCGTCTGTTGCAATAATCTAGACAAGAAATCGATGATGGCTTGAATTAGGTGGGGGCAGCCGGGGAGAAAGCGAAGTGGACTGCAGATGTGCTGTGGAATTGGAGCTGACAGTGCCTGCAAGTGGATGGGAGGTGGGCCCAGGATGAAGGAAAAGGTGGAAACCAGAATATGCCTGATGTTTCTTAGAGAGGGAAGCCTAGGGAGGAGCAGATTTGTGCGGGTGGCAATCTTGAGATGCCTATCAGACATCTGAGTTTATACTGCAAGTAGGCAGATGCATATTTTACACCAGAGGCATAAATTTGGGTGGAATTCAAAGTGATGGGGCTGGATAAAGAGGCCTGGGCCAGGCATGATAGCACAGGACTGTAGTCACCATACCCAGAGGCTGAGGTAGGAGGATCAAGAGTTAAGGCCAGTCTGGGCTACTTGGCTAGACTATGGGGACCCAGATACATTTAGAGGAGTCCGTTCACCACTGTAACCCTGGAGGTACATACACACAGTACATGGTCCATAAATGTTTGCTGAAAGGGTGGTGTGTTTAGTAACGGGCAGGCAGCTTGGCAAAGCTAAAGAAAAAGTTGGTGGTGGGCATAGGGCAGTGATGGGGGATGGAGCTCCAGGATGGAAGGTTAGCAGAGCCCCCAGCCAGCAAGAAATTTTCTGCTAGAACAAGGCACTTAGTCAAGCATGCATTTTAAAGAGTCCTCTGGCTGTGGTGAAGAAAATGAGTGGAGGGAGCCTGTAGGGTAGCAAGTTCAGGGGGCAGGGGTGGGGGTGGGACAACTGGGAAATGCTCTCTGGACTCCAACTACAAGGTTCCCTACTGGGGCAAAGAAGCCTGTACCCCTGGGAGGTAAGTAATGGCTTGGACTAATAGGAACCACTGCTCTTCAGCAAGGAGGGTGTGCTGGCCCACATCTGTAATCCCAACCCTAGGGAGGCTGAGGCAGGAGGACTGACAAGAACTGAAACCAGCCTGGGCTACACAGTGATTCCCAGGCTAGTTAGAACCACATGGCAAGACCTTGTTTCAATAAGCAAACACAAAAAAAGCCAAGGAGGATGGTTCAAAGCAAGAGGGGCTCCAATAATCTGGGCAGGGGGCTTGTCAATAATGCCTAATGAAAATTTGCCCGTCAAATTTCCCTGCAGACATGGGGGCCTTGGGTCTGAATTAAATTTTAAACACATTCCTTGCACATCCAGATATTCAAGGGGTTGGGAAAGTGAGGCCAGTGCCCTAGTCAGGGAGCAGAAGACCCAGTGGAGTATATGGGGGTGGACAAGTAGGAAGCACGAGCTCTACTCCGGACCTGCTGACTCCTCGTATCCCGGCCATCCAGGCAGGTGGAGCAGCGGGTCAGAGGCCTGGGCTTTGAGGTTTGTATGTGGGGGCCACCGGTGCAGACAGGATGGCCAGGATGAGGGACGGCGACGACCAAAGGTCCAGCAGAAGGTTCCCTTGCCCGAGGGGCTCCGGGCCCCCTCGGGTAGCTGCCAGCCTCATGAGAGGCTGGGCTCCTAGGAAGGAGGTGCCCCGAGGAGGGGAGAAGAGCGGCGGAGACACAGCAGGTCGTTCCCTTGTGTGCACAGCCCACTCAGCTGGCAGGGCAAGCAAAGAAGCCAGAGCCCACCCTGGGAAGCCCGCAGCCGCAACAACCCGGCGCTCCAGCCTGGGGCGGCGGCGGCCACAGACACCCCCACCCCCGCGCGCGCGCCCTGGCCGTCCGCACCCTGAGGCGGGGCTGCCTGCACCCCGAGACATCCGGGGCGAGGGTTGGCCGAGGTCGCCTTCCAGACCCGGGGCGCTCGACAGGGCTCACTCCGCACCCATGCCCCGCACCCACCGAGATCCGACCCCATCCCTCCCGCGCCATCCAGGACCCCTCCCCCCTCGCCGCCCGGTACCGTCTCCTGGGGAGATGGTCTCGATCTCCACGCCCATCGCGGTCCCACAGGCCCCGCCTCCGGGGTCCTCGCAGCACCCGACCCCGGCTCGGCTCCGGCCAGACCCCGCGGTGTTCGGTCGCTCCCCGCCGCCTCTGCAGAGCCGGAGGAGGTGCGGCAGGAGCGGGACCTGCGCGAGGCGGCGCCGGCGAGGGGCGCGGGGTGGAGCCGCGCGGAAAGGTGGGGTCGCGGGCGGGGCGGCGGGGCGGTGGGGCGGGGCGGGGCCCGGAGGAACCAGACTCCCTACCCCAAGATCACCCACCCACAGTTAACCCGCGTGATGAAGCGGGTGATCGAGGCTGGGACGCATCTGCCCATCGTCTCCACGCAGATCTACGAGCTTCACCGGGTGCTAAGCCGGAGTTGGTCGGCGCTGCAGACCAGGATCGGGTGGCACTTAAAGTAACGCTCCCCTGCCTGTGCGCCGTGCCTTGGCGTTCTGAGCTCTGCGGAAGCAGGCCAGGCTCGGGGAGCGAGGATGCCAGCTCCTGCAGCCTCCCCTCCACCTCAGACCTCTACTCAGGCGCCTGTATTAGGTTCTCCCCTTGCAAGGAAGAGAACTGCGCCTGGGAACACCAACTGAATTACAAAGAGATCTCTGTCCAGCCCAAATGACCTCTGGAACTCTGAAGATAGCTTATAGTATGAGTGCTTCGGAAATGACTGAATTATGCTCTTCATTTCCATCTCTAATCCAGGAATATATATATATATATATATATATATATATATATATATATATATATATATATATATATATATGTTTGGAGGAGGTAGCATTTGCTCTAAGGCTGAAAGAGTTTTTTTTTTTAAGTTCTCTTGTCTTGCTCCCATTCATATCTACATTGTTCCAAAGACTAATATAAATTTAATTCTGACAAGGGGTTCCAGGAGGTAGGCTTGGGAAAAAAGCCTGAACAAAAGTATCCTGAACGGGCAGTGGAGGTATTCTTCCTACCCACCTTGCACTGTCCTGGTGGCCAGGTCGCAGATGAAGACGTTATCATCCCAGGAGGGGGACATGGCTTTGGTGCCCAGGAAGGGCGATGGTCATCTGCGAGGACACTCACGCACGCACACAGTGGGATTGCCCCAAAGCACATCCCGGGAGCTCCAAGACTGAAGAAGCCTAAAGAGAATGAGCTCCCTGTGCTATAACCATAGGCAGGAACATTTTGAGCAGAGCAGGGATTTGTAACCTGGACAGGCCTATGAGACTGAGTCAATCGAACGCACAATATTTTATGCACAAGACTTTTTCTCGGGGATAGTGTTTTGAACTTTAAAGAGGTCTCTGATTCCTCTCCCCACCACCCCAAAGGAGAACAAATAAAAACAAAATGTTTAAAAATCCATGTCGACCCTAGGACTCCGACTTTTTCTTAGACTAAAAGAACTATTGAAAAATGGGGGAGGGGACTAAAGCACTTTAAAGGAAAAATTGTAATCCATTTACTCGGTGACGGTCACAGAAACCACTACTCCCAGTAACCCTTGCGGCAAAGCCCACGCTTATTGGCCAATGGGAAGGATTTCTAACATGACATATTAAAAAGCCAATAGGCAGTGAGGATTGCGGAGTGGGTCCGGCCTCCCGCGTATCCATCAGAGGACTGTGAGACGACACTTCCGGTGGCTGGGCCGGTGCTTGGATCCAGGTACTTTGGAGGGGGCGCTGTCAGCCCCGGCAAGGCTGGGGTTTTTTGTGGTGTAGGAACACCAAACGTATTTTGTCTCTTCAGCTAGCAGCTCTGGTGGGTGTGGGAAGGCTGGAGTGGGGCTTGAGGCAGTTGGACGGCACTTGAGGTAGGAGGGGGAGGTGTCTGAGGAGAATGGGGCAGGCCACGTGTGAGCAGCTGGAAAGAGGGAATATATTTCTCCGGGCTCATGGATGATACTTCTGGGAGTATATCCTAAAGTCATCCAAAATAAAGGAAATGCTGCGTGCGCGTCAGGGGGGGTAAAGTTGGCTACAATCATGCCTCTTGGAGAAAGTTTAGTAAATTATGTAATTTCACTGTTTATGAAGTGGCTTCTAAAAATAATTTGTAAAACTTTTAAGTAAAATAGGAAATGCGAATAGGTAATCATAAATGGAGATGTAATATGAAGTTGTACGGTGTTAAATTGCAGGAAGCCTTTGACTTGGATTGGGGTCCTGAGCAGGGCTCAATAGACTGAACCAATATAGAAATTAATCACAATTAAAAAAATTTAATCACAATTGCTCAAATAATCTAAAATTAGTTTCCTTTTATTAACATTATGAATGAAAAAATTTTAAAAACCTAAGCTGTATGTAAAAGTCCGAAGGGATGTGTTCATAATTTTCCTTGATGAATGGTTTTTGGTGAATTTATTGTTTCTACCTATTTTTTTCCTCAATAAGTGTAAAAAACTTGATTTTTTTTTTTTTTTTTTTCCTTTCCTGGCACCGGGGATCAAATTCAGGACCTTGTGCTTGCCAGGCAGGCAGTTATGCCGCTGATCTATATCACCAGCCCTGAATTTTTATTTTATAGGGGAAACACAGTAAACTTAAGAGATTGTGTACCTGTATTTAAACTTACTGGAAATGCTTCAGTTCACCCTAACTCCTGTTGTTCTCCCTTAAGAATTTCCTAAGAGGTTAGAAACAAGAATTAAGTAGTGCTGCCACACTGAACACCTGGTTCTTTCTTTCTTTTTTTTTTTCCATAATTTTATTGAGAAACAAATAGCAATGAGACAGTTTCAAATCAAATTGGTAGAACAGTTCCAATTACTAACACATTGCATACTCTCTTCCTAGTGGTTATTTGCTGTACAAGATGCAGACATGATATCCTATTTACAAATACTGGGGCCAGGGAGATGACTCAGTGGAATAAGCGCTTGCCTGGCAAGCTCAAGGGCCTGAGTTCAATCCCCGGTTCCACAAAAAAACACAAATACTATTAGAACAAATCCCTCTATTCATTAAGAGAATATAACTATATATCTATCCTAACCATTTTGAATACACAGATACAAAATGAACATTCATCTATATCCTCTTTTTTGTTTAGTTCTGTCATTTGGCAGAACCAGGGATTGAACTCAGATCCTTGTGCTTGCCAGGGAAGTGCTTACTCTACTGAGCCATCTCCCAGGCCCCTAGTTCTGTCATTTGAATAGTATAGGTGTGTTAACTCAGCAGAATATTCTAAAAGAGTCCAGTAGTCCATATAGTATTGGGTCTTCCGCTTGACTGGCAGTGTCAGAAATTATTGACAAGAGTCTCCTACAGCTCAACATAACAGCATGGCTTCTTATGCTTCATTTTTATACTTTTCTGCTGGATGGTTAAGACCAAGATAAAGCAAGACCTATGCAACAAAAGTTGTAGCTTTTAGAGCTGATAAGGTCAGTCAAATCCCCTCAGGATTTGTCCTGAAATCCTGTACCTCAGATTGTAAATCTTTTGTCAGTGTCAGCCATGTGGATGAGTCACGGCCGTTGCTTGGCCAATGTACTGTTTTGAACACCTTGTTCTGATCACCTCTTCCTTAGCTCAGTGATCTTTCCTCTCTTTAAAATACCCAGGGTTGGGCCCGGGAGATGGCTCAGTAGAATAAGCGCTTCCCTGGCAAGCACAAGGGTCTGAGTTCAATCCCCGGTTCCACAAAACAAAAACAACAACCCAGGGTTAAATAAATAAATACATAAAATACCTAGGGTTGGGTCAGCCCAGATCAGGGCTGGGTCGGGGGTGGACCTGGCCTGAGCTGTTAGCTCAGGGGTGTAAGTACCTGCTTGGCAAGTGCAAGAACCCAAGTTCAATCCCCAGAACCCTGGGCAAGCCATGGTGATGTGCTTCTATAATCCTAGCACTGGAAAGGCTGAAACAGGAGATCTCAGAAAGTTTATAGTCTGGGACTTGAGAGATGATGACACAGAGATTCCTCATTTAAATACTTACCTGTTGAAGCTCATTACACTTATTGTGTGCCTTATTTATATTATTATATAGAATAATAATTAAGTAAATAAAGACCTGCCTGTTTAATGACCGTTCAGACTAATGACCAAGGCACACTGTTCAGACTTATGACCTACCTCAGGGTCTTTTTTTTTATTTTTTTATTTATTTATGTGTGTGTGTGTGTGTGTGTGTGTGTGTGTGTATGCGTGTGGCCAGCTCAGCCCACCAGGGGGCGGGACTGGCTGGCATGCGGTGCTGGGGGATTGAACCGTGGTCCCTGTGCTTTGCTAAGCTTGCTCTAAGTAGGTGCTTTAGACCACTGAGCCATCTCACCAGCCCCTACCTCAGGGTCTTATGCAGGAATGTAAATGACAGTGCAGCCTTATGGAGGCTTTCCTCTTCTCTTCTCTTCTCTTCTCTTCTCTTCTCTTCTCTTCTCTTCTCTTCTCTTCTCTTTCTTCACCTGCTCATTCCACCCTGAGGGCAGGTCTGGCCCAGCATGTGGTGCAGGGATTGAACCATGGTCCCCTGCGCCTGCCCAAGCTTGCCTAAACAGGCGCTTTAGACCACTGAGCTATCTCTCCGGCCCAATACTTCTTTTTCTTCCGCAGTAGTGTTTCAAGATCTGGATACCTTATCCTGTATTGTATTTTCTTATGTACCTCTTAGTATGAGGTATCATCAAAATGGAAAAACCTAAGTTTACCAGGAGAAACAAAAGACCATTGATCTTGACATGAGAATGAAGATCATATAGGACTATGAAGCTTTTTGAAAAGTTAAATCAATAGCACAGGACTTGAATCTGCCACATTCAACCATTTCAACAATTGGGAGGCTGAAGTGCAAGATATTCAAGAGTTAGTAGAATATACTGAAGGAGAGCTAAGTACAGAAGATTTAATAGATTTGGAAACATAGCAACACTTAGAAGAGGAGGATAAAGACAGAAGAAAGAGGCAGTGAAAACAACAGGTTTTAAAGTCATAATAGCTAGGCAGCAGTAAGTACTCATTCATGACATGGAAAAATTATTGGCCATCTGATTTGATGACCAGATACAAAACGAATGTCAGTGAGTCTTCCAGTCAATCAAGCCATGGGGCTCACTCTTCAAGACAGGCATGGTGGTGTATACCTGTAATTATACCACTTGGGAGGTGTAGGTTCGAGGATCACTGAGTTCAAGGCCAGCCTGAACTGTTCAGTGAGACCCTATCTCAAAAAGCCAAAAATACCTCAAAACTTTGAAGGCACATAAAGGTGAAGAATTGATGGAAACTTTTATATTCAAGTCATGGATAGTTTCAGTGTGTTTTGTTTTGTGGTTTGTTTGTTTTTGTTTTTGTACCTGAAATTGAATTCAGGGCCTCAAGCTTGCCAGTTAGGTGCTGTGCTGCTGAGCTACATCCCCAGCCTAGTTTTAGCAGCTTTATAGGGGATTGAACCAGTACAATCAGACTGTCAATAGTGAGGCTGCAAGTTCAGACATAAAAGCAACAGAAAAATTTCTTGATCGATTTGATAAAATCAGAAAGGCAGCTACTGCCCAGAGCAAATCTTCAATGTGGGTGAAGCCAGACTTTTTTTGAAAAAAAATATCTGAAAGGTCCTAGATAACACAATGAAGTTAAAATAGTACCCAGCTTCAAGACTTTTAAGGACAGTCACATTGTTGGGAGGAAATGTTGCTGGGTTCAGGCTGAGGCCTTTTCTCCGCTGTCACTCCGAGGACCCATGTACATTTAAGCAGGTTAGTAAGCATGTGCTGCTTGTTTACTATTGAGCCAATCACCGGGCATGAGTAAAGCAAGCTTTATTTGAAGACTGGTTGATGAACTACTTTATATCCTCAGTGAAGTATTACTGTCTGAAAAAGGGCATTTCCTTTAAAATTGTCCTTATGCTTGATAATGCACCAGGCTGTTCCTAGCACCTTGATGTATACCCAGTTGAAGGAATAATATATCTGCCTAAAAGTAAAGCTGCTGTCTGACAGCCCATGGATCAGGGGACTATGGCCACTGCTTGCACACAACTTTTTCCAAAGCTGAAGCAGCAATAGAAAACAATGATATAACTTTTTATGATTTCTGGAAATCATACATTTTAGACTGCATTAGGAACATTGAATGAGCTTGGGAAAGAGTGATGAAGAGTGTATGCGAGGCAATGAAAAAAATGCCTGAAACATTTCATGCATAATTCAGAAGCATTTGACAAAGATAAACATGTCAATCTCATAAAGGAAACAACTGTGGAACTTGCTAACATGCTTAATTGGGAGGCTGAAGTGCAAGATATTCAAGAGTTAGTAGAATATACTGAAGGAGAGCTAAGTACAGAAGATTTAATAGATTTGGAAACATAGAGGAGGAAGAGCAAAGAACTGAAGTACTGTACCAAAGAAGCTGACTGCAAAGGGATTTGTGGGTGTGTTCTCAGATGTGATTGCAGCCATGTTAGAACTAGAGGCCAGGGATCCAAATGCTGAATGGTTCCTGGAAGTAGAACAGCAAGTGAGTAAACTTAACAATGCTGTCAAAGAGGCCGAGGAGATGGCTCAGTAGAATAAGTGCTTGCCTGGCAAGCGCAAGGGCCTGAGTTCAACCCCCAGTTCTGAAAAACAACAACAACAACAAAAAACAAACAAACAAACAAAAAAAAACAGTGCTATCATGAAATTTATGAAGCAAAAAACTAATGACAAAATAAGCCACACTAACAGGATTCTTCTTGAAAGTCATACCCGGGAGCCCTAGTACTCATTCTTCTGTTTCTACTTTCTCATCTCCCTTACTTGGGCCTTCTACATCTCCTGATCATAATTCCACTGATGAGGACTTTGAAGGATTCCGTGATGCAAATGTTAGCTTGAATGTCTTCTTTTTCTATATAGTTCTGTATATCTTATTTATAGAGCCTCAGTGTATTTTTTGGTGTGACACACTTTGTTTATACTGTACTGTCATTTTTGCTGACTGTACAGGATGGTGCGATATTAAAGTTTTATGGTTTTGTTTTTTTTTTTTGCGGAACCAGGTATTGAACTCAGGCTCTCACACTTGCCAGGAAAGCACTTATTCCCCATCTCCCCAGCCCTTACTGAGCCATCTCCCCAGCCCCTTTATGTTCTGCTATACCTTTTTTTTTTGAGACACTCACTGTGTAGTACAGGTGGTCTTGAACTCTCTGTACTCCAGGGTGGCCTCAAACTCTTGGGGATCCTCCTGCCACAGCCTCCCTAAGTCTAGGATTATAGGCATGTGCTATCATGCTCAGCTACTATTATACCTTACAGTGGTACATGTAAGAGTTATGTAAATGAAAGTATTCATCAAATTGGAGTTTCCTTTGACCATTTCTTTGTTCTGAATATTAGACATAGTACATTCAGTTCCTCACTTGGTGACTAATTCATTTAATAAGCTAGTAGGACCATAGGCCAGTCATCAAACAGGGGATGTCTGTATATAGTTTCAGGAAAAAGGTAATTTCTTACTTCTTGTAAATTCAAATAATAGACTGCCTAAATACTATGTGAGCCTGGTCTTTTTTTTTGGGGGGGGGGTATTACGGATTAAATCCAAGGTCTTTACACTGAGCTACACTTATCTCCTTTTCTTTCTTCTTCTTTTTTTTTTTTTTTTTTGCAGAACCAGGGATTGAACCCAGGCCCTTGCGTTTGCCAGGCAAGCGCTTATCGTACTGAACCATCTCCCCGGCCCCTTCCTTTTCATTTTGAGACAGGATCTCACTAAGTTGCTAACTTGCCAAATTGCGAGGTTGGGTTAAAACTTTCACTCTTCCTGCTTCAGCCTCCTAAAGTGCTGGGGTTGCAGATGTACACCACCATGCCCAGTTGACTCTTTAATTTCTATTTTTGCTGTTCTGCTTTTCCCAAGCTAAAACTCTGGGTGCTATCCTTAATTTTTCTTCCTTACAACTCACATTCTGCCTAATATCTATTCTATCTCTCTTAGAAGCAGATTTTTTTTCCATTTTTCTCAAAACATATTTTCTCATAGCTCAGCAGATTAAAGCTCCTGCAAGCAGGTGCAGGGGCCAGGGGTTCAATCCCCCGGGCCTCCTGTGCCAGCCCTGCCCCCAGGGCACACTAAGACAGCAATTGAGACTGGGCATGGTGGCGTGCGCCTGTAATCCCAGCTCTTGGGAGGCTTTATTTATTTATTTATTTATTTATTTATTTATTGGCAGAACCGGGGATTGAACTCAGGCCCTTGCGCTTGCCAGGGAAGCGCTTAATCTTGGGAGGCTTTAAACAGGCGGATCCCTAAGAGTCCGATCTAGTAGTGAGACCCTGAACACCCTGTAGACTCTTCCCTAAAATATAAAAAGAAACCCCAAAAACCATATTTTTTCTAGTCTCAGTACATCTTTGAGCGCCTTTGCCAAGACTTCCAGGAATGTGCAGAACCTTGCCCTGGCCTGCCAAGCCATTGGTGACAAGACTCCTCATAGCCTGTGCAATGGCATCTTTGTCAGTACCAAATATCTTCAGCATCTTGGCTGGCTTCCCACTTCTTGGTACCTGACTAACAGCCAGGTGGGTGACAGTGACTCTGTCACCCTTGTAGAGTGGTCCTCCACAGTGAGGATCCTGCCCTTGATTGCTTAGGTGCCATCAAGAATGAGTTATCTGTCCAGGGGCTTTTTGGTGAAGGGGTCCAGCATCTAGATGTTGGTTTTCTCTTTCTTCAGCAGCTCAATGGCATCCAAGGCCTTGTACAGGGCCACCCTAGCCCCAGTCAATGGTCACTGGCCATCCTTGTCCTTCAGAACTACGTTGGCTTGTCCAACCATAACTACAGTTCTTAAATCTGGCTTTTTTTTTTTTAATTGAAATACTACAACCTTGGTTCATTTTTCTCATTGTGGCATCCAGGCTATTTTATGTCCCTTTATTATGAAACCTGTCCAATTTCTTGTCTTTTTTTTTTTTTTTTTTTTTTTTTTTAATGAGGGTTTTGCTATGTTCAGGTTATCCTGGACTCATGGCTAGCCTCCTGTCCCAGCCTCCCAAGTGCTGAGGCTATAGGCATGTGCCACTACACCTGGCCAAGAACTTTTGAATTTATTTTATTTTATTTTATTTTTGGAGGTGCTGAGGATCAAGTCCAGGACATTGTGCATCCAATTTTTTTTTTTTAAGACAGAATCTTGCTGAATTTCCCAGGTAAAACTTGAATTTATGATCCTTCTGCTTCAGCCTCCCACTTTCTGGTATTGCAAGCGTGTGCCACCATTTTTAGATGAGAACTTTTTAATATGTGAAGACCAGTGATTTGTCAAAGGCTTTTGAACAGAAGAGCAAAATGCTCAGAGATGTGCTTTCTCTTTTTCAATATTAGGAATCAAACCTAGCCCTTTCTCCCAAACCCCCTTTTAATTTTGAGGTAGAGAGGTTTTTTTTTTTTTTTAAATTAGGTTTATTGGTACAATTTAGATATACATAATGATCATATTAATCATAGGGAAATTTTACCTGTATATTATAGAGCTAGATTCCTTTTTGGGGGTTGGGAGAGTACCATGACTCAAACTCTTGGCCTCATGCTTGCTTAGGCAGACACTGCCACTGAACTCTATCCCCAGCCCGATGACCTTTTTTTTTTTTTTTTTTTAAAGAGTACAAAGTAGTATTAAAATAAAAATTACAAATGATACAGAATTTCACTAAAAGAAATAATGTGAATTTCACATGACTTATTATATTGCATAGTGTTGTCTTCAAATTAGTTGTTCATATTACCAGATATATGCATGCAGAATTGGAAGAAGAAAGAATAATAAAAGAATAGAAAAAAAGGAAAAAGAAGACAAAGATTCCTTTTTTTTTTTTTTTTTTTATGAGATAGAACCTTACAAAGTTTCCTAAACTGGCCTCAAACTTTGTGATCTTCCTGCCTTAGCCTCCCAAGTAGCTGGGATTATAGGTTTTCACCAACACACCTAGCAGAACTGTGGTTTTTAAAAAGATAATTCTGAGGCCAGATAGCTCAGCAGATTAAAGTGCCTGCTTAGGCAGATGCAGAGGCCCAGGTTTGATCCCCGGAGTGCTGTGCTGGCCCTGTCCCTGAGGTGCACTGAGACGTTGATTCAGCCTGGGTATGGTAGCCTGTGCCTGTAATCCCAGCTCTTGGGAGGCTGAAAACAGGAGAATCACTGTGTAGTGAAACCCTTTAGACCCTGTACTAAATACAAAATAAAAATAAAAATAAAAAATATATAAAATTTTGTAATCATGTTGTTAAATGCATATAATCCCAGCACTTTGGAGACTGAGACAGAAGGATAGCCAGGGGCTCGAGTCCAGCCTGGGCTACATTTTGAGTTCAAGACCAGACTAAACTCCAGAGCAAAACTGTCTCAAAAACAAACAAAAAACATGGTAAGAAAACATACGTCAGTGCAAAGGCTTTGGGTTCAATCCCTGGCACCACCAAAACTGCCAAAACAAAAACTTGTGTTGGGAAGAAGAGATTAAAATCAGGGGAACCTCACTTTTGATCTATCCTAATATTAAAGAAATGGAGCAGTTTTTGTAATTATTGTTAGATTTTTGAGGGAAAAGCTCTCTTTTACTTATTACTAGTGACAAAAATACTGAGATGTATTCTTCTGAAAAGATCACTCATTGGGGCTGGGGATTTGGCTCAGCGGTAGATTGCTTGCCTCGCAAGCTGGAAGCCCTGGTTTCGGTCCTCGGCACCAAAGACAAAAAGTGAGCCTCCCCTAAAAAAACAGTTCAACCAAAAAAATACAGTAAAATAAAAAGATCACTCATTTTGTCCTTATTTATAAATCATGTGTGTGTGTGTGTGTGTGTGTGTGTGTGTGTGTGATACAGTGTCAACAATACACTCTCACTGATATTAGACTGAATTGGATGGCCTGAAATAAGTCATATAAATTACCTTTAATACAGTTGGCCCATTAAGACTTTTTTGTCCAGGAAAATGTATCATGCATTATGTATCAACAGAAGTCTTTTTAAAAGTGCATAAGTAGATATTAGGGAAAAATCATATATTATAGAAGACTAGTGGGATAGATAGAGGTTGTGGCTTTTGTCATTAGTGGTGGCAGGGGATTTATTTCTCCATCTAACAAGCCACTGCAGAACCGCTACATCTGACCTTATGTACAGAACCATTACAGGCCATTGCTTTTACAGGAGCCTTAGAACAGGCATAAAGCTACCAAGAAGAGAGGACATTTTCTTTTGTTTTTTAGAAATGTTTGAGATGGGGAGGGCCAACTAGATAGCTCAGTGGATTAAAGTGCCTGCTTAAGCAGACTCAAGGACCAGGGTTGGGTCCCCAGTGTGCTGTGTTGGCCCTTCCCTCAGGGCGTGTGTTGAGAGGGCGACAGACTGGGCATAGTGGTTCCAACCTGTAATCCCAGCTCTTGGGAGGCTGAAAAGAGGAGAATCTCTAGAAGTCTGATCTGTGTAGTGAGACCCTGTAGACCCTGCACTAAGTACATTAAATAAATAAATAAAATAAATTTTGAGATGGGTTGTAAGTTACTAAGGCTTGGCTCCAACTTGTGTCACCAAGCCCTGCCATTCCCAACCTTCCGCCCCCCTCCTTTTATTTTTTTTTTCACTTTTTCCTCATTAACTTTATTGAAAATCAGTTATTATATAGCATATTAAAATTATAGACAAATATTGAAATATGAAAGATATAAGATGTAGACAGTAAATTTTAGAGAAATATTTCTGAAATGAATACATTGTATGAGATTAATAATAGATTGCATATTGTAGATAAATTCTTTCTAAACTTCCCTCCTTTTATTTTTAAACAGAGTATCCCTAAATTCCCTATGTTAGACTCAGGCTTTCAGTTCTCCTGTCTGAGAGTTCTGCTTCCCAGAGTGCTGCGGTTATAGGTGTGCTCCACTGTGTCCGCCTTGCCAGGCAGTGGAATCCATTTCTTTGGATTTAGAATCTGGACACAACTTCTCAAGTTGTCTTTAATAATCAATAGAACAGGGCTAGAAAATAGAAAATGTCCTTTGGATTTAATGGACAGGGTTGGCACTGGTAGCTTGGAGGGAACTATTTTGGAGAAGAGATTGAGCAAGGAGACCATTTAGAATGAGTTATGGAGTAAGTGGTAAGAAATGGATTTTGCAAGTTAGATAATTCTTTGGTAATATATAAAATTAAATATAACTTTATACTTTTTTTTTCAGTGCTAGCTATCAAGCCCGGGGCTTGTAGGTGACCGCTCCTACCATTGAGCTATCCTCTTAGCCCCTACACATTTGTACAGATCTTTTTGCATTGATTTGATACTTGCCCATTGATAGCACTGGGAATTTTTCAGTCTCTGGGTTCAATACAAAGCCTGGAAAGAAAGTCAGCCATCTCTTGAAATTCTTTAGCCATTTAAAAATTTAGAGATAGGTATAATGGCGCACACCTGTAATCCCAGCAATCAGGAGGCTGAGGCAGATGGATTACAGTGAGTTTGAGGCTAGCCTGGGCTACATAAGCAAGTTCAAGGCCAGCCTGAACTTCATAGTGAGACCCTGTGTCAAAAAAAGCAAGAAAAATTTTCTTTCTTTCTTTTTTGCGGAACTAAGGATTGAACTCGGGCCCTTGCGCTTACCAGGCAAGCGCTTATTCTACTGAGCCATCTCCCTGGCTCCTAAATAA